CAGAAATTCGACCACCTGGGGTGCTTCAACGTGCACCTAAATCTAGGTACACGCGCCTCAGTATTCGCGCCTCCGCCGAAAATACAGCCGCCACGGCCGGGTTTCGATCCCGTGACTTGTGCTTGCATACCTTGCGCTTAATAGTCCTGTGTTTAATTGCTGGCACGTCCGCAAAAATCTTTCGGAATGTGTGTGTTCAAACTGCATTTAGAACAAAACTAACGTCAAAGCTGCAACGCACAGTTCGAATACACATATTAACAAACGACGGCAAAGCAGTCATCCCTGGGGAAACTGCCTGCAGTCTTTAAAGCTCGGGTAGTGAAGAATAAAAAATGAGGAGGATTGAGGTACCAAAAGAGCATCTATAAACTTGAAAGTTTCTTGTTATATTACTGCTATATCGAGTTGTAGTCTGCACACTGCGACAGCTTCAACTTCGTTCGTTACGCGCGCGGCACCGTTCTTGTCGATAGTTGCATCACGCAATTGTAATTATGTGGCTAAGGTGACAAAGCTGCCATTTGATTGAGAGGCACGCCGTAGCTGAAGAATTGGGAATAATTTCGACTAGCTTGGGCCGTTAAATGATCACGCGCCCGCCGAAATACTACTGCTGTGGCCGGAATATTGCACTGCACAGTCAAAAGGAAACATCACTTGGCACCACTGTCAGACGGTAAGAAGAAACCCCTTATTTACGAGCACGCATATTGCAGTGAGCACAAACACCGCTCCAATTCGTCGCCATTTGCTGGAATTATCAGTTCACAATCACCTCATCACGGTGGCACCTTTATGAACGCCGACTGATATTCGCGTGCAGCCTTTTTTTTTTATTTGCATAGCTTAGATACACTCACTAAACGAGACAGCTAGGCGTTATGACGCGTTTTCGCTAAGTTAGCCAGATCGCCTTAGGAGAGAGACCATTCCGCGATGGTTTCACAAAGTTGTCCACAAGTGCTAAACAGGTTTGCTTTCACTCATTTGCCTTGGCATGCAAGGATAGTATTATTTGTGGGAACATGGTGTACAATATGCGCTAATCGTGAAAAAAAAAAAAAAGAAAAAAACATGCTGGGTAACCTTTCATTCTAACGAAAAATATAACTTTTTTTTTATTCTAAAGAAAAATATAACCTCAGAAACGAAAAATCAAGAAAAAGTTTTCTCATGTGTATGTGCTCTTCCAAAGTTTGTTCTAAGTTGTAACTTTGTGAGAACCATTCGATCATGCCAAGCTACAACAACCAAACACGTAAAGCTGGGAACAGGGCTTTTTTCGCTATGTAGCTTACCTGTACATTTGGAGGCTGGTAAAATGTTCCTCAAGGACTCTTCACAAGTATCTTCTACCTACAATCGTTTGGTGCTGCTTTTATCAATAATTTCAACGATATTCCGGCCAGTTCCTGGCTTCATATCTGGGCAAGAGTAAGTGTGACCTCTGTTCAAAAACATTAGGTTCCGCTTCAGGGATCTGCGAGAACTTTGGGTGGTCAGGGATAAGACAGATGCTTGGGCTAGCTGGCGATTGCAAATCAACTTATTTGCACAGTGCAAGACTACAAGTAGTTACGACGTAACTACAGAAGATGTCTGTAGTTACGTCGATGTCTGTAGTTACGTGTCTGTAGCAGAAGATGTCTGTAGTTACGTCGTAACTACTCGTAGTCTTGCGCTGTGCAAATATGTAGGTCAGGGATGTCGGGAAGTTTAAACTTAAGGTGGTGTCGTGCCTGCCGAACGCGGCGCTGCTGAAATAACTTTTCTAGACGTAGTTGCTTTCTTTCCATTGCTGATCTTTTCTTCATAAAGCCCTCCCCCATCGTTGCTGTTGTTCTTGGTCAGACGGAGCATTGAGTGGAAGAACGTTTGTCTTACGCAGTATTTATTCACAGCTCGAAGCAACAGGCAATCTCCCCTCTGAATCAGTTGCAGTCTGCTCAAACGGGCTTCAGAAATGTCTTTTCCATGCAATAATTTGCTGTTATATCGAAGAATGTTATATCGAAGCCTTTGACAAAGTCTCGCATGAACTTCTGTTTCATAAACTACGTAATCTTAACATTGACCCTAATGTACTTGCATGGTTGATCTGTTTTCTTTCAAACCGCGCACAATTCGTAACAGCAAACAACTTTGGCTCACATCCTTTACCTGTCCGTCCTGGTGTACCTCAGGGGTCCGTTCTCGGGCCCCTTCTGTTTCTCATCTATATAAATGACTTAGCGACTAATATTTCTTCTTCAATTAATCTTTTTACAGATGATTGCGTTATTTATCGTGAAATTAACAACAATAACGATGTCTCTTTCCTTCAATCCGACATTAACGAGGTCGTGGACTGGTGCAACACTTGGAACATGAAACTAAACATTAATAAGTGTAAGCACATGCACATTTCTCGAAATTCTAGCCCAGCTTCCACTTACCACATTAACAATGTCTTTCTTGAAACTGTGCTCTCTTATAAGTACTTAGGTGTTCACATTTCTTCTGACCTGTCTTGGAAAACTCATCTTCATTATATCATAACGCCGACCGCATGCTTGGGTATATTCGCAGGAACTTCTCTCATTCATCCAGTTCAATAAAACTATTACTTTATAAAACACTAGTTCACTCAAAATTAGAGTATTCTGCATCTGTCTGGAGCCCTGGCATTGAATCACTCATTTCCGACATGGAAGCTGTGCAGAACCGTGCCTGCCGTTTTATACTCTCCAACTATCACCGAACAAGCAGCGTAACCGCCATGAAATGAAGTTTGTCCCTCCCTCCTCTTTCTCAACGCTGGTCAGTAGCTTCATTATGTCTTTTTCACAAAATTTATTACAACAGCTATCTGGAACAGAAATGATTAACAAGGCCATCATACATATCAGCTCGAATTGATCACCGCAATAAAGTTGGAGTTCTATCATGTCACATCAAATATTTTCATGACTCTTTTCATACCCAGAACTTGTGTCAGTTGGAATGATCTTCCCCATGATATCACTTATATAATTGATAATAATATGTCTCGTAAAACGATTAAGCTTCTCTAAATATTTGTATATATATATATATATATATATATATATATATGTGTGTGTGTGTGTGTGTGTGTGTGTGCGTGTGTGCGCGTGTTTGTATATATGTAGGGTACATATGTGTGTATATATAAGCTCATTATTATTAGTATACCTTTTTCCTTGCTGTTTTACATTGCTTCCGTTATGTATATCTCCACTCCCCTCTGTAATGTCCTCGGGCCCTGAGGGTACAATAAATAAATAAATAAATAAATAAATAAATAAATAAATGTGCAAAATCTTACCTCAATGAGTAGTTTTAGGCACGTGCCTAGATACGATTGCAGATGGTCTGCTTTTTTAATTCTACCACTTGATTCCTTTCGTTGTCCGAAGAGTATCTAATCGAACATATATAAATAAAATGCTGGCACTAAGATGCTTTATTTTGTTTTGGCTAACCGCGCCGGCGAAAAACTCGTAGCTTCATCCAGGAGCATAGTGGAATCAGTGAGTGGCAGGTGGAAAAGACGACACCCGGGTTTTATTCGGCCGCCTTCAGAGACTGTGGAGACCGCGGGCGCATGCGCTCTCCTCCGCGTTGGAAAACGAATAGTTCTGTGAGTCGCTGCTAGCATCGCTGCGCGCACAATCGCCAATCTCCTCCCGCGGGGTGACATCGTCGCGGCGCGGTCTCGTGCTGGCACCGGCCCAGACTTCTGATCGGCTGTGTTTTCTGAGCCTGCTCAGAACGTGTTGCTGGGCCACTTTGAATCTCGCACCGAAATCACTGCACGGGGCCTTACGAACTTTAAAGTGCATTTTACGTATTTTTTTACACAGGCCCTATATGATTTCCTAAAACTTAGCGTGTTGAGTCCTTGGGCCCTCTACTTCATTTTCACCACTTAAAGGAGTGACATGTTTAGTAAATGCCATCAATGTCTGTGACGTCAGGGCTATTTGTGCATTAACTTCGAGGTGGCAGGACCACCCACATTTTTTTTATGCGTGTTTCTCGCTCACTTGGCATCTCCTTGGGGTAAGTTTCAATATTTTGGGATCATCAAAGTGTCTTTGCCTAGGCTTTTCCTTTAGTGTCCCATTAATAGCCATTGAACTGGCTATAGTATCCATAAAGTGTGATAGTATGTGCTTCACCACGAATCACAAATGCCTGGGTTGTGTTGAAAGCGCTGGCGTCATTGCAATAGTTCTTTTGGGAAGTAAAAAAATGTGCGTGAAAAGTTTATACAGCTTTATTAAAGTGTAAGGAAAAGCTGCTCTGAATAACAAGTGTATCACAAAGAAGGGCTAATGTCACTTCTATATATAACTTTAGGTCTGTTCTCAGCAAAGCAAAGAGCAGTGAGTTAACTTCATCTTTTGCCATGGTATATATACGTACATCTGTATTTTTGTGTACTTATATTTATTTTCATGAAACTTCTCATGCCTGGGACAGGCACATGCTCCAAAAGTGGTTTCGGTCAATCACTCCACGTCTACATTTGTACTCACTTTATGACTTGGAAAATAATTATTGCTAATTGCCAACATTGGCTTACACTAAAAAAAAAAATGTTTTTATTGGCAGTTGAGGTTTCACCCTCTGTTACGTGTGTCTGGTGCGGGCATACATTCAAATTGAGGAACAATTGGCAGGAAGGCCTGTTGGTTCGAGCGATGGAGGGAATTTATTGAAATTTCACTTTTTCATGGGCTGCAGTGGGGCTCGCTTGATGACATTTCCGTACGTTTAAGGGCTTTGTATGCAGCTGGCTGTTTCATTCTTGATAAACATATCTGGCATAAAATGTTTTGTGAAAAAGTGATTGAACCAGAGTTGGCATACATACACATTTTGTGCCCATGTTAGTGTCCTTGCGCGTACTGGTAGCCCAATTAAATGATACATCTTCACACTCATGATTTAAAGAAGGCAAAAAGGGCATTATGCTTGACTTTATTTTACAGGATGAAATTCTTAAAGCAGCAGTGATGAAATATGGCAAGAACCAGTGGTCACGAATAGCATCATTGCTTCATCGAAAGTCTGCAAAGCAGTGCAAAGCTCGATGGTGAGTCTTTTGTGCTTGCCCATTGGTTCCTTGTTGTCAAGCGGTTCTTGATGCTTCATGTCATATAGGTGCTGTTACTATTTCTGACATGTGGCATCTCAGTGCGACCCGCCAGATCGTGGTTTTCCACGATCTGGCGGGTCCAGCCATCGCTGGCTACTGCCATTTTGCCGTGAGATGTGCTTCATTAAGTGAAGTCATCGTCTTGTATCAGCTTCAGCCGCTGCAAGCCATTTAATTCTTAATGCTTGGCTGAAGGAAGTGACTCCATTGGACACGTAGCTGACCATGAAACAAAATCGTTGGCTGATATACAGACTCTTGCGAAACAAGCAGCTTTTTAGGTCTAGTCTCACGAGTGTGCCATTGTCACGCTCCCGGCCACTGCGATACATTTAAAGATGCTAGTTTTAAATTATGGTCTTGACCAAATGTGCAGAAATTTTGCCAGCCTGCTTGTGAACACCCTAGTATTAAGCCACAAGACGCAGATAATGAAGGAAAATTGTGTCGCGGCCCCTTAACATAGCTTTTTATTGTTATAAGGACACTCTCTGCAAATTTTTGCTGTTGACGTCATGTCCCGGATATTTCTTTACAATATGTATTGTGCGGGGGCTGTCATGTTGTTGTTAGTTTTCAAGAACGTTGTTCAGTTGGGACGAGAGCCATGCGGTCTGCATCCTGGGGTGAGCAAGGCTTAGCGCATGTGGCTTGTATGCCAGGCCCGAAACAAGTGAGTACGGAAGCCTCGTGGGTGGTCTGATTTTCTGTAAATAGCCTCTTCCATCTCTTTGGGCTCAGTGAGCTGGGCGTCGTTGCTGTCTGGTATTGCGGCTCGATGCCAGGGCGTCGTAACACCGTCCGGGGCGGTGGACGCCGATCGCTCGGTAAGCTGCTGTGTGCGGCGAGTGATAGGGTCACCTTACAGAGGGGATGTCTCCTCGCGGCTGCCTCTTCTGCGCCTAGTCTGGGTGGATGCCGGTTGTTGTAGAGTGACTCATTAGGCCTAATGCTCTGCGTAGCCGCCTGTTGTGTTTGTCATGTTTTGGAGTATTGTGTAAGGTTGGTTAGCATATGATAACGATTGATGTATGAATTCGGTGGACGATATCGCCGTTCTAAATGAAATAAATGTATGTTGTTTGGTTTGTACGGATCGGGTCTGCTGTGTCTGTTCACTCTAAGAGCGTGGCGCTCGCTCGCCAATATGAGACCTCACGGTATGTATATAAAATAGGGGAGTGCAAATATTCGAAATTTCGAATATTTTTAAAAATTGGAATCATTGTAACTTCCCTAAGACAAGGGCAGTAAACACACAATTAAAAAAAAACCCTTCAGACCTGCAATATGCTTCTCCTCATTACATCCTGGTATTGCGGCATAGCTGCCTTTCAAGCTCGCTATGATCACAATTGTATTGACTGAAAAGAATGCTGGTTCCAACATGGAGATGATGGATGTGGCATAGGTGGTGGCTTAATGCTGTTTTTAACAGAAGATTCGGTTAGGAAGTCCAGAAAATCGAATGCAAAAGATTTTTATAATCCAAAATTCTTGTTTGTTGAGGTCTAAGAGGCATGTTCGGAACTGCTAACTCAAAGAGAGCACGCCCTTGTCCACCATGTCAGTTGTGCTTCTACAGAAGTTGAAAGGGCTGAGACGTGTAAAGTGTTGGCAATCATGTGCTAAAACAATGCCTCATTCTTGATAAGAGAAATACTACCGTGTCAGTACTTTGTCAATTTAGTGAAAAGAACACTATATATCTCATAAGAATATGCTAAGGAATCCTCTCCAACTTTTTTTTGCCAATCTTGTTTTGAACTATTCCAAAAATATTTTATTTGATTTGCACTCCCAGTTTAGTATTGAATTTGCTTTGCGCCCAGAATAAAAGCCAGAAATGAAAATAAATCAGTTGAAATACTTTGTAAACTGTACTACACGGATTCGAGCAATGATCACCATCAATTTTTCAGATGCCACCACTGACTCCACCAACTCAATCGATAGTACCTCACAGCTGTGGCGCATCATCGTGCAACTTTGTGTCGAGGTAGTGTTGATAGTGTGTGAATATCGTTTTGATAGTGTTAAGCTCTAAGTTATCTCTTGTCCCTTTGCTAGTGCTATCAATGCCATGCTGGCTGTAGCCACCTCGTAAAGACCTTGATACCAGCCACGTTTTCACATGCCGCAGACATTTGATGTATCTACAGATGCTTGTTTTTTAAGTGACTTGTCCTTAGAGGAAACCAAGGAGCCTATCTCAACCGAGGTCATTGCCCTCACAGACATGTCGCTTCGGACCACCCCTCCTGCTGGCGACATTGCTTCCAAATGAGCCAGCTAGAATGTATGTGAGACTGTCAGGAACCATTAGCACCACCGCCTACGGCAGATTAATGGCAACAGTGCTGTAAGACCTTAAGATGCTTCACAGCACGTCACGGGAAACCCCCCACTTATGGACTTGGAAGAATAACATCACTCTGCCTCAGCTCCACCCACTGTGAGGGTGACACTTGGCACGTTTCGGTGCTGCTGCATGACTCGAACTGACAAAGAGAGCTTGTACATTCTCATCAGGGCATCAACTACCGTGAAATCGCCAGTTCTGTGCACCAGAGAAAACGGAGATGACTTTCCGAGTGTTGTTGCAATGTGGCCAATATTGACCAGCTAACGTCATCCCCGATTCACTATTGGCAAAGTTTCAGGCCAAGTGTTTGCGTCCACAGTGACGTTCCTAGCAGCCACAGAATCATGGTCATTGGTGCCAGCTTCGCATCAATGTTCTCTGGCTTCATTTGCCCTCTGTGAGGACCGAGTGTGGGGATGAAGAGTCACAGCATGCATGGGTTTTCGACCAGCATGAAGAGGAGAAAGGTGGCCGAGTGTTGTCTTGTTCTCGCCATCACACTGGCTTTGAGAAGATCTTTAGCAAGTTCCGTGAGTACTGGAAGAACAACAATATGTTGTAGTGGTAGCCAGAAGCACCAAGTGCGAGCTGTTGGCCCCAGTGCTGTGATTTCTGTATTGGTTTTTCCTGCCCGCTTTCAGTATCGATAGACCTGCTGTGCAAGTGCTACTTACGCCAACAAACCCTGTTTCAGAGTGATGGAGGTGCGGGGTAGCTCAATGTGGAACCCTGCAACAGGAAACTACCTGCCACCTCAGAAATGGCTTATAAAAACACCCAGCAAGGCACGACCCAGCTTCTGATGATCATCGTGCCCACTGCGCTACGGGCGCGCATTCCGCCTTTTTTTTACTGTACCGATGAACAAGATGTCGAAGATTGCTGTCGACATTTGAAAAGGTAGGCGCGAGCAACAAATTGAATGACCCTTCGAAGTTGCAATAAGTTCCCCTCTGCCTGAAAGAGGTAGCGAGTCTCTTGTTTAAAAACCACCACTCAGAATTTGCCACTTGGGGTGCTTTTAAAAAACCCATTGCCAATGTGTTCGGTTGGCCTGAGATACGCAAGCTCTGTGCCGAACAGCACCTACGGGGACACGCACAGCTTCAGGGGGAAGGCTTCACAAACTACATCGAGGATGTGCTCGACTTGTGCAAACGCCTTGACCATTCAATGACAAAAGCAGACAAGATCAAACACACCTTGAAGGGGACATACGACGACTCCTTCCAGATGCTGCTGGCCAAGGGCCCATGGACCGCGTTTGAACTCCATTCTTTGCTAGAGCTTTGAGGAGTGGCCTAAACAATGTATCATGACGCGGCAGCTAGTGACAAAACTGTCACGGCGTTGACCCTCGGTAGAGACCACAACATGCTAATGTTGGAAATTAAATGGTATGTGTGCGAAGAGGGGCCGACAACTTTTGTGCCCGTCTTATCTACCGACAACGGAACCCTCTTCTGATTGTCTCGCGCGCGCCATCAGACAGGTAAAACAGGCACAGGTCTCTCAGGCACTGCCGCCTGCCTTGCAGCGGACATTATATAGTTGTCCAGCAACCTTTGGCTGCGTATCTTTCTAGTGGTTTAACAACAAATCGACACTTGCTTAAGAGACGCTACAGGTGCCGCAGCATCGTGTGGTCTCTCGAGTCCGGGTGCATCTGTTCTCATAGCATGACACGGGACAAGCGTCGGTTACATTGTGTCAGAAGTGAACGGTGTCATCGCTTCTTCAAGCCATGGAAAGAATACGCCCGCCGGACCATCTCGTATTTTCCGGGAATATCGCCGAGAACTGGCGTAAGTATCGTCAGCGTTCTGAATTCTACCTCGAAGCCACGCAAAGCGAGTGGGAACGCAGTCAGAAACAGAAAGTGGCATTGCTACTTCATGTCGCAGGGCCAGAAGCTATCGAAGTATTTGACACTTTCGGTTGCACGGCGACAGAGAAGAAGAGCTATGGCACGGTTCTTGGAAAGTTTGAAAGCTATTGCCAGCCTCGCACAAATGAAACTTTCGAACGGTACTTGTCTCGAAGCGCGTCCATGCGGATGGCGAATCTTTTGAAAGCTTCTTGAAAGACCTGCAGTTAAAGCCCAGAGTTGCAATTTCGGAATATTGCGGAAATCTATGATACGGGGGGCATCTAATTGTGTTCGGAACTGCTGATGACCAGCTTCGAGAGTGCCTAGAGAGGACTCGCTATCGCTAGAAGATGCCAATAAAGCAGCACAATCCGCAAAAATAGCAGCAAATCATAAAAGAGTGGCAAGCTCCGAAAACAAAAGCTGTCGTAGCCGTCAGAAAAAAATATGCCATATGCCAAACAAGGACAAGACGCCAAACCAAAGAGCCTGCAAGAAGTGCAAGAGGTGGCATGAACCGAAAAAATGCCCGGTGTATGGTCAACAATGCAGAAAATGTGGCCGAAAGAATCATTTCGCCCTAGCCTTCAGAAGGAAGAAAGCGGTAGACGATGTCGAAGAGACGTGCAGCAACTCGTCGAACGCGCAGTATGAAGTGTTGCAAATTGTGGGGGGTGCCGACACTCCCTGTAAAGTTATTTG